GGAGACTCCTTCGTGTCGTGACGGGCAGGGTATGAATCCAATCCCTTCTCTCTTCTCCTCTGCATTAGCACATGTGTTTCTCGTGCTCAGCAGGGCAGCATTCATCCTAGGTAGTAGAGGGTTGCAGGAGTGCCACGCAGCTGGCAAGAGGTCATAGCGTCAGCAGGAGGAAGGCAGATCCCAGGACATTTGGAGGATCCAGGGCTGGGAGGATGGGCATGAAAAGTACTGGGTTCGCCGCATGGAGGACTCAGACGACGACATACTGTAGCACACGATTATTGTACTTAACACAGACAAAGACTCGCTCTAAGGGCCGACAGGGCCGACAGGAACTCATTAGCATAATAGGCCACACCCAACAGCAGGAACTCATTAGCATATTGGGCCACACCCCCGACAGCACAGCTCATTAGCACATTAGGCCACACCCCCATGTTACCAGAAGTGTGGTCATCCAGCCACACCCACCTTTTGCTTGTTATTCTGTTTACCTTGTTTGTGGTCAAAACCCAGGGCCTTTTTTTGTAGCAGGAACTCCTTTGCATGTTAGGCCACACACCCCTAATGTAGCCAATCCTAACGAGTTCCTGCTGTTGGGTGTGGCCTATTATGCTAATGAGTTCCTGCTTTGCGTGGCCAACTTGGGAGCTAGCCGGAACTCCGATCATGTCCATTCCTGCCCAAAAATAGCCCTGCATATACATATCCACCCAGCAATCCCCCCATTCCCATTGGAGGGTTTGAATGTCCCGCCAAGGTGGCTATTGGTTGGGGCTGGGGGATCCAGGATCCGAAGTTTCTATTGTTCTAGGATCCAAGCTCTTGCCTGTGCCGCGGACCCCTGGTGGCAGTCCGCATACATAACAGGGTAGACGAGGAGTGGGAGTCAGTGTGAAAGGGGGTCGGACAAGCCGGAGATACAGATCTCACGCTTAGCGAAGTGATGGGCAAAAGGCCTACATCTGAGGCCCTCGGGCTGACTATAGGCAGCATTTGGAAAGGGACGGAGATGCAGTGTGGGGTTCCAGGGTCCAAAGGATGTGTTTGGAGGAGGGGGACAGATGTTATGGTATGAGCCCATGCCGTTAGGAGGCCAAAGGGAGAAGAGCCGATCCAGATCAGATTGGTGGTGGGGGTGGTGGTAGTAGTGGAAAGTGCTGCCAAGTCGCAGCCGATTTATGGCGACCCCCTCCTGGGGTCTCCAAGGCAAGAGGCATTCAGAGGTGGTTTGCCGTGGCCTGACTCTGCATAGGAACCCTGGATGTCCCCGGTAGTCTCCCATCCAAGTGCTAACTGGGGCCGACCCTGCTGAGTTTCTGAGCTTGGACATGAGCAGGCTAGCCTGAGCCATCCAGGTCAGAATTATTGGGTTTCTACTCTGTCTCACATGCAACGGAGGGGCCGTGGCTCAGTGGCAGAGCCTCTGCTCAGCATGCAGAAGGTCCCAGGTTCAATCCCCGGCATCTCCAGTTAAAAGGACCAGGGAGCAGGAGGTGATGGGAAAGACCTCTGCCTGAGACCCTGGAGAGCCAGGAAGTGGGGCTGCGGCTCAGTGGTGTAGCCTCTGCTTGGGATGCAGAAGGCCCCAGGTTCGATCCCCGGCATCTCCACTTAAAAGGACCAGGCAGGAGGGGATGGGAAAGACCTCCGCCTGAGACCCTGGAGAGCCATGAAGTGGGGCTGTGGCTCAGTGGAAGAGCCTCTGCTTGCCATGCAGAAGGTCCCAGGTTCAATCCCCAGCTGCTCCAGTTAAAAGGACCAGGCAGGAGGTGATGGGAAAGACCTCTGCCTGAGACCCTGGAGAGCCATGAAGTGGGGTTGTGGCTCAGTGGCAGAGCCTCTGCTTGGGATGCACAAGGCCCCAGGTTCAATCCCCGGCATCTCCAGTTAAAAGGACCAGGCAGGAGGGGATGGGAAAGACCTCCGCCTGAGACCCTGGAGAGCCATGAAGTGGGGTTGTGGCTCAGTGGAAGAGCCTCTCCTTGGCATGCAGAAGGTCCCAGGTTCAATCCCCAGCTGCTCCAGTGAAAAGGACCAGGCAGGAGGGGATGGGAAAGACCTCTGCCTGAGACCCTGGAGAGCCATGAAGTGGGGCTGTAGCTCAGTGGCAGAGCCTCTCCTTGGCATGCAGAAGGCCCCAGGTTCGATCCCCGGCATCTCCAGTTAAAAGGACCAGGCAGAAGGTGATGGGAAAGACCTCCGCCTGAGACCCTGGAGAGCCGCTGCCAGTCTGCGTAGACCTTAATGGACCAAGTGTTTGATTCGGTATAAAGCAGTTTCATATGTTCAACCCCTTGCTGGTGTGCATGCCAGGCCATGCCGCATGCGGAGAAGAGCATGCTGTGTGCGCCTTGTGCACAGGCCCCTCACCTAAGTCGGGTGTCCCGAGGTGCATGCGCTGGAGTCTGTGGGGCTGCAAGGAGCGAGCGTGGGCACCTCTGCTGTGGCCGAGCCATTGCATACCACAGACACACATGGGTTTGTTGTGTGTGCCATCTCCAGCAACGTTCTTCACTGTGCTCCCCCCCCTCCTGCCGCGGCTTCCTCCCAGCTGCTTCCTGCCACATTCACTGTACTTGCTTTTCGAGCGCCAAGGGACTCCCCCAGGCCTGCCCCTGGTTTGGAGGCCCTTCCTCGTCCCGCCACCCGCGCTTCCCTCTGCGAGACGACAAGGTTCCTCTGTCAGCAGCAGGTGCGAGCCTCCAATGTCCTTTTTCCTCCGCCAGGAGCGGCACAGCCATGGTGAATTCCGGCTTGTGGGCGCCAGGTAAGTGACAACAGGGGACCCACGCCTCCAAGCGGGGACTCGCCATTCTCCTTTCCGCCTTTCACTTCTCTCTTTCCAGTTCTCTCTGTCCTCTTGGTCCTCTCCACCAAGGCTCCCTCTATGCCGTGGAGTCCTGTGAGCAAAAATTCTACTTTGCGAGCTACCGGCATTCAAGTTGTGAGCGAGCGATTTGGCTGCCGCAGGAATGAGTTTGCTCTGCGGCCATCCTTCCTGAGCGCAGACAAAAAACGTGTGAGCCGGAGGCTAAAAAACGGGGAGCTCGCTCACGTGAACTCAGCTCGGAGGGAACACTGTTCACGTCTTCTGGGACAGATCGATTTCTTGCCCGAGACCCTACTTATCTGGTGTGGTGGAGGCCGCGTTGAGCATGATGTGCATGCCCATCCTGCTGTTGCCACTGTTTTGAAGATTTACATGCGTCATGAACGTACAGGACTCCTTTGACTAGAGAGAGCGGTGGGGGGGGGGAAAGAATGCAGGTGTGTTCCCAGGCAGATCTGCCCCCCCCATCCCGTTGCTGCCTCCAGTCCTGTGGTGGTGTGAAGTTCAAAGGTGAAGGCAGAGAACAGGTCAGGCACAGAGAGACCGGCAGGCCTTGGGGCGAGGGGTGGAGAGGTGCAGGAGAAGACGGTTGGTACCTGGGACCGGATTTAAGTACGCATCTGAGAAAAATTTTTTGGCAGGGCCCCTGGGCTGGGCAAATGCCCAACAGGCGTAAATTCACCAGGAAAGCTTCGGCCAGCCTAGAGACTTTGGGATGTGTGTGGGGGGGGGAAGCTGTACCTGTCGGATCTCTGCATGCCGCGCAGCTGCTGTAGTCGCGGAGGAGGTGGCAACCACGGCAGGAGAGCTGGCTTTTTTGCGCGGTCCCTGTTATCGCACCTTTAACATCGCTCAATCATTAGTGGGTGACTGCGAAGGGCGTCATCTACTGATTTTTGACAGAGAGGGCCACTGCCCAAAGGCGCAGGAGCGGGCCAGGCTGTGATTAGTTGGCAATCCTGGGTGTCCCCATCAGGGGCTGTCATGAAGGCGAGGGGATTTTGGCGAGTGCTGCTTCTCATGGGAGGGTGACCTGCACCTTCTGAAATGCACACACACACACCGTCTGTGCAGGCGGCGTTAAGGGCAAAGGAGGCCGCCGAGCCCTCCTTGCGGAGTTGGCCCTCCGCCCTTTTTCCTACGGAGGGCACCACAGAAAGCCCCGGGGGGGGGGGGGGGGAGGATCCGGCCGGCTGCCAGGAGGTAGGAGGAGTCCTGCTGGGAGCTGCCGGCCAGGCTGGTTTCTGCGCGTCTGTTTTTAGCTGGTGTTTCAGTAAATTGGCGTCTGTTTTTAAATCAGCTAAAAATGTGAAAGGGAAGCAGAAGTGAAAGCCACCAAAGGGTGACCAGCAGTTTGGAGGCTGGGGCGGGGCGGCTGGGAAAGACTCTGCTGCAGTTGCCGGACAGAGACCCAAAGAGCTTTTTCTGAATCGTGCGGGGGGGGGGGGAAGCCTCTGCGGCTTGACCAGCCGCCGTGGTTCCATGATGGGTAAAGCCAAACTTGGGGAAATCCTGCCCTACGCTGCAAAATCTGAGACCCTCTCTGGGTCTGGAGTTAACCACCTTTTCCGGCTGGAACAGCCGCCCGGGTCGCAGACATCCGGCCAGTGGAAATTCTCTTAGTGGGTAGTAGCAGGGCAAACTTCACCTGCTGAATTTCTGCCTGTTGGGCTACTGCTAATGGCTTGGAGCTGAGGAGAAAGCTTCCTGTAAGTCACTCTGAACCTGCACTTACTGGAAGCGCTTGGGAGAAAGCAGGCTCCGTTGTGAAGAATAAGGGTGCCATTCTGTGGCCTGGAGAGCCTATCCTTTTAATCTTCCCCATGCTTCGGGCTGCCAACCTCCAGGTGGGGCCTGGAGATCTCCTGGAATTGCAACCGATCCCCAGGCTGCAGAGATCAGTCCCTCTAGAGAAGATGGCAGACTCTTATACCCCTCTGAGGTCCCTGCCGTCCCAGATTCCATCCCCAAATCTCCAGGGATGTCCCAAACAGAGCTGGCAACCCTGGGTTTCACCGTCTTCCCCATTCCTTCCCAGGTTCAGTCCCTCTGACCCATTTGTTAAAACAAAGTGAGACTTTTTGCCCACTGGCAGATGAAGGAGGAAAGTGAAGAGCATGTCTGGAAGAGGAAGAGGATTGGCTAGTTTGGTGTAGTGGTTAAGTGCGTGGACTCTAATCTGGGAGAACCGGGTTTAATTCCCCACTCTTCCACATGCAGCTGCTGGTGTGACCTTGGGTCAGTCACAAGTTCTCTCAGAGCTGTTCTCTCAAGGGCAGTTCTTGAGAGAGAACTCTCTCAGCCCCACCTACGTCACAGGGTATCGGTTGCGGGAAGGGAAAGGAGATCGTAAGCCGCTCTGAGACTCCTTCGGGTAGTGAAGGGCAGGGTATAAATCCAACCTCTTCTCTTCTTCTTCTCTGTGTGGTAGCCGACCTCTTCCCACTGTAGTGGTAATGGTTCAAGTATCACTAAGCTCTCTGGGAGCCAACCTAGCAGCTCTGACTAAGTCAATGTCCCATATACGAATAATTCTTGTAATGCACACTATATTTTGACAGCCGCCGACACGCTATTGCACCGTGCTTGCTGCAAGTACCGACACATAACACCACACGTTACGACCACTGGCACTTCTGTTTCATATTGGAGTCTGTGCGTCATATAGCGTAGGGGTTAGTGTTATGTAAGGGTTGCAGTGTCCAACCAGGATCCAGAAGTCCCAGGTTCAAATCCCCATTCTGCCAGGGAAGCCCGCTGGGTGGCCTCGGGCGTAGCGCCAGTGTTCCCTCTGAGCTGAGTTAGTGTGAGCCAGTTCTCAGTTTTTTAGCCTCCGGCTCACACATTTTTGTATTTGCTCTGGAAGGATGGCTCCAGAGCAAACTGATTTATGCAGTAAAAATCACCTGCTCACAACTGTCATGCCAGTATCTCACCAAGTAGAATTTTTGCTCACAAGGTTCCACAGCTCAGAGGGCGCATTGCCCGGCGCTATTTCTCGTCCTAACCTACCTCATACGGGTGTTTTTGTTGCGAGGATAAAACGAAGACAGGGAGAACAGTGTTGTGAATTGCCTTGTGTTCCCTGTTGGGGAAAATAAGCCCTGCTGTGGACGAGGCCCTGGGAGCTAGTGCAACGAGCAGAAATCCAGCCAGGGAAACTATTCCTAGAGCGCTGATGCAGTTACGGGGATAGATTCCTCTCTAGTTCTATTTTTGCTTGCAGTTGTGTAGAACGCGGACATAATTCTTACCAGAAGGCATCAGATAGGAACCAGTATTCCCTCTAAGCTGAGTTAGTGTGACCTAGTTCACAGTTTTTTAGCCTCCGGTGCACACATTTTTGTCTCTGCTCAGGAAGGAGGGCTCCAGAGCAATGTTCCCTCTAAGCTGAGTTAGTGTGAGTTAGCTCACATTTTTCTAGCCTCCAGCTCACACATTTTTGTCTCAGCTCAGGAAGGAGGGCTCCAGAGCAAACTAATTGATACAGTAGCCAAATCGCTGGCTCACAACTTTAATGTCAGGAGCTCACAAAGCAGAATTTTTGCTCACAAGACTCCACAGCTTAGAGGGAACATTGCTCCAGAGCAAACTGATTTATGCAGCAGCCCAAATCGCTCGCTCACAGCTTTAATGCCAGTAGCTCACAAATTAGAATTTTTCCTCACAAGACTCCACAGCTTAGAGGGAGCACCGGATGAGACAATTTAAGACTGTTCCATCTTTCTTTTTTTTTGATGGGGCGCATGTGTCTTTAGCATATCTTAGAACTGATCCTTGTCTGATGTTTCCTCTGGGTTTTAAGAACTGCATCACAGACAGAAATCCAGCAGACAGGGGGTTTCCTGTCAGGGCTTCTCCCTGCCAGGAAAAGTGGAGGCTTTGCCTGTTGAGTTTCTGCCTGTCGCCCATCTGTTAAAGGCACAGAAGACTGTGGGCGTGGGGGGAGCGGTGATTTTAAATATGGTTGGGTTGGCAAAACCGAATCCCCCCCTTTTTGACTGTCCAGTCTTTGGAAATAAACGAAAAAAGACCATCAATCGGAATGGGTATTTGATTGGAAATGGCATCACCGATATTTAGAAGGGGTGCCCTCAAGACCAGGGGTCATTTCGTAGAAAAAGAGCTAAGGGAACTCATTAGCATAACTCATTAGCATATGCCACACCCCCTGACATCAGGGGCCCGGCGGTGGACCTGCAAGGCCGGCGGGAGTGTGAGGAAGCCCCGCCAAGGCCCTCCCTGGCCCCAGGCAGGCAGGGGTGGGGAGAGGCGGGGAGGGAGCAACCTACCCTCCCCCTTCTCCTGCCTCCTCCTGGCTGAATGAGGGCTGGAAGGAGGGTGGACAGAAGCAGGGGGCGGGGCTTCATCATGAGCCACGCCCCCCTGCACCTCACCCGGGGGAACTGCGATCCCCCGCGATCCCCCCCGAAATGACCTCTGCTCAAGACTATAAGGGATGTGTGTCAGCGTGTCTTGTCTGAAAACACCCCTCCTACTCTTTCTCAGAGCCAACTTGTTTTGCTGTCTGTCTGACTGTCCCTCTCACACACAGAGGATCTTTGCAAGCGTATCTCGAGAAGCCCACGGGGGAAAATAGGAACACGTTCGTAGCACCTGTATTCTGATGTCAAGGCCTGAAGGCCTTCCATTAAAACTTGGTCAAAGCCTCTACTCCGGCTCCCAAATTCTTTTACTTTGCAATCCCCTTTCCCTGCATTGTTTTTAAAAACGGACCTGTCAGGTTAAGGATACTCTCGGAAAACATAATTGCGCCAGCCTTTCCAAATGAGCCTTGCTGGCACGGGAAACAGAACACCGTGACGCCCTAACACGCGTGGTTGCGCATTTCTGTGTGCACGCGGCCTAGAAACAAGACGCGATTACTCCTCCACTCAGAGATTTACCTGCTAGAGACAGTAGTGAGTCAGGTTGCC